ATAATACACACACCCTTCAGATCCCTTACACTACAAATCAAACTTCATCTCCATCCTTCCTCTATATGTGACCTGTACATTAAGCCCTTCATCTCTTTCCCCCTCTTTGTATGACCTGTATGGGCTGTATTTTGTGAACCAGGGTAGTCTTGGATCGATTTCAAGTCGACCTTCCTACAAATTAAACTTCAGCTATCACTTTCTAAGAAGTTACAGCAACAGTTTTTTTTTCTTTTGGTTCGTGCCACTTTTGCATGACCTGTTAAAGTAAGTGAAAAAATACCAGATCTACTGCCAGGATTCGTGGGTGTTCAACCTGTGGCCTTCCAGTTGTTGCAGAACTACAAGTCCCATCATGCCTCTGCCTTTGAGAGGCATGCTTGTAACTGTCAGGCTTGCAATGCCTCATGGGATTTGTAGTTCTGCAGCACCTGGAGGGCCACGGGTTGAGCACCCATACAACAAAGTAAACCAGTAAAGGGTTAGAACCTCTGTCAGATTAATATTGCTATCTGGGGCTTTCTGTACTAGTGACGTCCCCTCTAATTTCTTATCCTGCTGTCACAGGGACTGAAGATTAAAGTGGATGAGAAGCCTAAGCCTAACTATTCTTAAAAACGTTCCCTCCCCCTCCTCCTACCTATCCTGCCTAACCTGTAATAAAATAGATGTATACACTTACCTATTTTTAATCCGCTCCAGTCTGGTCACATGATCCTGCAGCTCCGTCTCCATAGCTTGACAATAGCTGAAAATTTGGGGAGATGTGACATCTCCGATAGACTCCCATAGCTTGGCCATTGTCGAAGGCTCCCTCCTCTCCCCTGCAGCAGCTGCTCACTGATTGAGGGGAGCTAGATCTGCAGGATCACATGACCAGACAGGACTTAAAAATAGGTAAGTACCAACATCTTTTTTTTTTTTTTTTTCTACCGGTTGGGCAGGATACTGTAGGTAGGAGGAAGGAGGGGGGAACATTTTAAGAATGGGTAACTTGCAGGCTTTTCTTTTTCCACTTTAAGGGCAATCACCCTGTCACAGACAGCAAAAAAAAAAAATGGATAAAAATATTTATTCTTCCTAAATCTATCCAATGTTACAAATAAAGCTTTGCCAGGCGTTGGGTTTTAAACTATAAGTTGCCTCATGTTTAGTTTATTCTTTGTATTCTTTAGGGAGAAACTCCCCTTGACCTCGCTCAGCAAACCAGGAATCGCCTCATTATCCATATTCTGACAAGCGAGGCCAGTGTCAGGGCCAGCAAGAACTCCAGAATGCTAAAGGTTCTGCAGAAGTATGAGGTGAGCCAATCTGTGTATTCCATCTTGATGTAAATAACAGTCATATCCTGTGTCTTACAGCTGTACGTGGTTCATGAACATTGTTGGGTAAAGCCTCATCATGGAAAGTGTGTAAAGCACGAGCTGTCATACCTATGTCAACCAGTCAATGATTGCTTTCATTAATTGGGGACCATATGGGAGACTTAAAGAGGAATTTCCCGAACCCACCCATGCTGACTAACCTGTGTAAGAAAGATGTATACAGTGAAGGAAATGCGTATTTGCTCCCCTGCTGATTTTGAATGTTTGCCCACTCACAAAGAAATGATCGGTCTAAAAATCGGATGTTCGGTGTATTGTAACACTGAGAGACAGAATAGCAACAACAAATTCAGCATAAATGCATGTCTAACAAATGATGACTGATTTGCATGTTCATGAGGGAAATAAGTTTTTGATCCCCTTCACAAAACATGACTTAGTACTTGGTGGCAAATCCCTTGTTGGCAATCACAGAGGTCAGACGTTTCCTGGAGTTGGCCACCAGGTTTGCACACATCTCAGGAGGGATTTTGGCCCACTCCTCTTGGCAGATCCTCTCCAAGTCATTAAGGTTTGGTGGCTGACATTTGACAACTTTGAACTTTCAGCTCCCTCCACAGTTTTTCAATCGGATGAAGGTCTGGAGACTGGCTAGGCCACTCCAGGACCTTAATGTGCTTCTTCTTGAGCCACTCTTTTGTTGCCTTGGTTGTGTGTTTTGGGTCATTGTCATGCTGGAACACCCATCCACAACCCATTTTCAATGCCCTGGCTGAGGGAAGAAGGTTCTCACCCAAGATTTGAAGGTACATTGCCCCGTCCATAGTCCCTTTGATGGGGTGCAGTTGTCCTGTCCCCTTAGCAGAAAAACACCCCCCCAAAGCAGAATGTTTCCACCACCATGTTTCACAGTTGGGATGATGTTCCTGGGCTCATAGGCAGCATTCTTCCTCCTCCAAACACGGCGAGTTGAGTTGATGCCAAAGAGCTGGATTTTGGTGTCATCTGACCCCAACACTTTCCACCAGTCCTCCTCTGCATCATTCAGATGTTCAGTGGCAGACTTCAGACGGGCCTGGACATGTGCTTTCTTGAGCAGAGGGACCTTGCGGGCACTGCAGGATTTCAGTCCTTGTCGGCGTAGTGTGTTACCAATTGTTTTCTTGGTGACTGTGGTCCCAGCTGCCTGGAGATCATTGACAAGATCCTCACGTGTAGTTCTGGGATGATTCCTCACTGTTCTCATGATCATTGACACTCCACGAGGGGAGATCTTGCATGGTGCACCAGACCTAGGGAGACTGACACTTGTTTTGTGTTTCTTCCATTTGTGAATGATTGCACCAACTGTTGTCACCTTCTCACCAAGCTGCTTGGCCATAGTTTGGTAGCCCAGTCCAGCCTTGTGTAGGTCTACAATCTTGTCCCTGACATCCTTGGACAGCTCTTTGGTCTTTGCCATGGTGGAGAGTTTGGAATCTGATGGTTTGATTGCTCCTGTGGACAGGTGTCTTTTATACAGCTAACAAAATGAGATTAGCAGCACTCCCTTTAAGAGACTGCTTCTAATCTCAGCTTGTTACTTGTATGAAAGACACCTGGTAGCCAGAAATCCTGCTGAATGATAGGGGATCAAATACTTATTTCCCTCATGAACATGCAAATCAGCGCATAAACTTGTTAGACATGCATTTCTGCTGAATTTTTTGTTGCTATTCTGTCTCTCAGTGTTACAATACACCGAACATTCGATTTTTAGACCGATCATTTCTTTGTGAGGGGCAAACATTCAAAATCAGCAGGGGAGCAAATACGCATTTCCTTCACTGTATACTTACCTATTGTCAGCCTGTTCCAATCCGGTTACATGCTTTGGCTTCCCTCTTGTCAACCAAGGGCAGCTGCAGGGGAGAAGAGGGAGTGCTGACAATGGCTGGGACATGGGACCTATGGGTGCCGTCAATGCTCCAGGCTTTACCAGCTGTTGTCAAGCACTCTCTCCTGCAGCCGCTGCTAGCTGACAGAGAGGATCACAAGACTGGAACGAGCTGAAAATAGGTAAGTAAGGCTAGTTAGGTATAAGCTGGAATTCCACTTTAAAGCCCAACTCTAGTCTAATCCGTTTACTGGGCCCTCAGCCTTTATAAAAGCAAATAATGCAGTTTCAGCTGCAATACTCGCCTCTTCCTTGACGCTGTCCCCTGCTGTCTATTTCTCCTTCACTACAAGCTGCCCTCAGTCTTTTGCAGTCCCACATAGGAATAATTCAACCTGGAACACTGAGGATATACTGTGAGAGGAAGGGTGTCATGGACCCGCCCCCTGAGGAAACTTTACCACACACCCCGCACTCACATACAATGATGCCGGAACAGTGCTGACACAATGCTTTCTGTTTTATGAGGAACCACCAATCCTCAGAGAAGAGAACCCCACTCTTCCCAAGACTGTCATGAAGACAGTTTGAAAAAAATAAAACAAAAGCAAAAATGACTGTGTGGGGGGGGGGGGGAATCTAGCTTTTAAGTGGAGAACTTGAATGGTTGTTATAATAACAAGTTCTTGATGGGCTGTAATAAATGTTCTGTCTTTTTGGTAGATGTTTTTTGGTGGTGTTGGTCTGTCTGTCTCTTCTGGGAGGTGTCGGATACATCCTGAACCTGAATACTGACTCCTGGCTTTTAAAAGGATCACTTCTCGCTCTTGTGACAATCGGATCTCAATTCTTTACCAGGTTTGTTCTATCTAATTTTTTTTAACGTCATATTTTTTTTAAATTGATACCCTGTGGCTTTTATATAAAAAAAAGTTATTTAATAAATAAATATTTAAATACAGGGTGCACACCGGTGCCACAAAGCAGCGTGGGTTTTCTAAGTAACACAGCAAAGGCTGTTTGCCTTTAGATGTTGATTGAAGCTCAATATGTCCCCTCAAAGCAGGGAGGAGTAAGGATGAGCGTCGAGTCACACATTCAGTTGTATTTACATTCAAGCTTTAGCTGTTGAGCTCTGTAAGCAATTTTTTTTTTAACAGCAGCTAAGGATAGTTTTTGCCAGTTGGCTGACAAAACAAATATGAATTTGGGTTTACCTAACTAAAATAATCTTTTCTTTGTTGTTTGTTCTGAACATAAAGAAAATATATATACCATACTTGCTGTATCTCAGAGCGAAAAACAAAAATGTACATGGATTTAGTACATCTTTCCGGTACTTGCACATTCCCTACTATGAGTACAGAAAATAACTTGAGCTGCCATATGTCCATTGTATGCCCAACTTCCTTTCTAAGCTGTCTCTGTTGCCCTGAAATCGTAAGCAGTGGTTTCAGCCATTTCCCATTTGCCTTCTATGTTCTACAGAACACCTTACCCCACCCCCTAATGTTATTGAGAGGAGGTGTTCTGTTGTCTTGTTCCAGAATGACAAAACTGGTCTCCAATATATAGAGTAGGGTAATGAGCGGTGTTACCTTAGGACACGAAATGTGTTTCTGGCAGGATCACCAAGTGAAAATGAAGGTCTGAAAAAAGAAAATAAATGCAGGCTCTTCACGTAAGCTGCAATTTATTACATTTTTGTTCTTGGGGGATCCTTTTTAAAGTAGATCGTGACACCACCACCACCATTTTTCTTTTTTTTTAACCACCATTTCCAAGTGTTCTGCTGTGCACATTTCAGATACTTACCACCCAGAGGATCCAGCATTGTCCCGCTGACATCCACTTTTCTTCTTCCACTGCTCAGTCCAGTGCCATGATGTTGCTGGTGATGTTATCAAGGGCCTCTGGCTGTTCCGGGTTCAGATAACGTGGCGCTAGGCATGCCTCCTTTCTAAATGAAAGGCCATGCCTCCTTGCATATGTGACAGCGAGCACTAAGCACATCATTCGCTTGTGACCTGCATGGGTGGGGCTGTACGTTTTTGCAGTAAATAAACAAAAAAGATAAGAGAGCACTATTTGTGTATCGAGTGGGGGGGGGGGTGGATTGGAGGAAAGTCTATTCAGAGGGTGAAGACCTGCTATTGGTATTGGACCTGATCTATGAAGCACTTGAAATCTCTTCCAATTAGGAATGTTTCAGTAGTTTCCAGTGCAGCGATTTTCCTGAATGAAACAAAAATTCTCCAGAATTCAGCCCAGAAAGCCTTTTGCAACTGAAAAAAAACCAAAAAAAAAAAACTTCCTGTGCTCAAAAGACTGGATTTGGCATGTGGAAGAATCTTCATACCCTTTGCATTCAGTCCGACTGTGCAGTGCTCTGCAGCTCCCTGCAGGCTGGGGTAGCCCAAGATAGCACTATAAAACAAGAAAAAGAAAGGGGCGCACCAGTCTTGCGCATTACCTCAATACAAACTTTATAAAATGTAGCAGATGTATACTCACAAACGCCAAACAGACACAGGCATATCATGAATGACATTATTCCATGGTTTGAAGTACTGGGTGGGTCCCACATGCAAGAAGACCCTCAAAAATGACTGACACGTTTCTAGGGGAGATCCCCTCTTCCTGGAACCCGCTCTGAGGAAGAGAGGATCTCCCCCTCGAAGTGCATCAGCCATTTTTGAGTGTCCTCTTGCATGTGGGACTCACCCAGTACTTCAGACCATAGACTAATGTTGGTTATGATATGCCTGTGTCCTGTTTGGCGTTTGTGAGTATACATCTGCTGTATTTTATAAATAAAGTTTGCATTGAAGAAATGCGCAAGGCTGGTGCTCAGTCTTCTTTGTTTTGTTTTATAGCCTTTTTAAACTGCCTATGATACATAAATCATTAACCACTTCCTGTCTGGCCGCTGTATATAAACGGCCGGACGGTGGCAGTGTAGGAGTGGGTTGCCGTTCATAAATGGCGCCTGCCATTTTGGACTGCGCGCATTCCCTGGGACACAGCAGAACACCGATCGCTGTACGGGACCGCTGTGTGAGGTCCCAATCATGTGATCACTGATTAGCTAATCAGTGATCACATGAATAGGTGTAAGCAAGATGTCACTTCTGAAATCATTACATGTGAAATCTACTGAATGATCACAGAGATCACATGGTACAAGGCTATTCACAACAGCCTTGTACCATGTGACAAGCTTTGAACAATCACAGCTCACACAGTATTTCTCAATGGCTGCAAGAATGCAGCCAGAGAGAAGGAGAAATGATTGCTTTTACAGCCTTTATTGTAAAAGCAATCAGTGTAAAAAAAAAAAAAATCATCCTCACCCCCCACAAGTAATACACCCCCCCACAGGTAGTACTGCTAGGGTGACAGTATGTTAAAAAAAAAACGTAAATAATAATATAAGAAAATAAAATAAAAATGTAAAAAAGAATTTAAAACAAAAAGTATAATTTTTGGTTATAAACTAATTTGGGTTATTTTTTTTTTACTAAAAAGATAACGGAATACATTTTGGCCAAGATTTATGAAGAAAGATTACTTATTTGCAAAATTTTATAAGAAAAACACTTTTTTTTTTTTTTTTTCAAAATGTTTGGACTTTTTCATTTATATAGCCAAAAAAAAAAATTCCAGTGGTGAATAAATACCACCAAAATAAAGCTTTATCTGTCTCAAAAAAATGCTAAAAATTTCATATGGGTACAGTGTTGCATGACCGCGTAATTGTCATTCAAAGTGCGACAGCACTGAAAGCTGAAAAATTGGCCTGGGCAGGAAGGGGGTGAAAGTGTCCGGACTGGAAGGGTGTGAAAGTGTCCGGACTGGAAGGGGGGGGAAAGTGTCCGGACTGGAAGGGGGGGAAAGTGTCCAGACTGGAAGGGGGTGAAAGTGTCCAGACTGGAAGGGGGGGAAAGTGTCCAGACTGGAAGGGGGGGAAAGTGTCCCGGACTGGAAGGGGGGGAAAGTGTCCGGACTGGAAGGGGGGTGAAAGTGTCCGGACTGGAAGGGGGGGAAAGTGTCCGGACCGGAAGGGGGGGGGAAAGTGTCCGGACTGGAAGGGGGGAAAGTGTCCGGACTGGAAGGGGGTGAAAGTGTCCGGACTGGAAGGGGGAGAAGTGTCCGGACTGGAAGGGGGGGAAAGTGTCCGGACTGGAAGGGGGTGAAAGTGTCCGGACTGGAAGGGGGGGGAAAGTGTCCGGACCGGAAGGGGGGGGGGAAAGTGTCCGGACTGGAAGGGGGGAAAGTGTCCGGACTGGAAGGGGGTGAAAGTGTCCGGACTGGAAGGGGGGGAAAGTGTCCGGACTGGAAGGGGGGGAAAGTGTCCAGACACGAAGTGGTTAATAAACAGCTTGTTGTTGCATACTTGTACAAATACTTGTAAAGTTGAGACTCGCTTGAAGTGGCTGAAGACCCCCCAGTGTGTGCCTGGAAGTGATTTCAATACTGGGCTCAAGTAGTGCAACAGTATAGGACCCAGTGAAGTGGCCTGAATCCACAGGTTATAGATTTATATTTACAGGTAAAGAGGTTAGGGTAGAGTTAGGCTTAGGGGGTCACATCTTTACAAATCAGGTTTCATGAATTGCGTAGTTCACAATTAATATAGTAAATTGGTGTGCATATGTCAAAAAGCCAAGTTTACGGCACAGAATTGCATTTTATGGATTTGCAGATCGTTGTCGTTTATAAAAATGGCTCGGGTACCTTTCATCTTTACTCTTTTATTCTAATAAAGATTTAGACACAATTCTTCTACAGAAACAGGAAAATATTGTAGAAAAACTCTTTTTTGTGCTTCTCTCTAACAAAGCAAGAACTAAGAACTACAACTGGCACGTACAATAATATGGACTTTTATCTTCTTGTTTTCCAGGCGGGTTGTTGGTCAGAACAGTCAGAAGCACCTGCCGCCGATATTCTTCTTCTGCTCCATTTTTTGGATGTTCATGACATGGTTTATCTGTTTTCTGCCTGATATCCTTTTTTTTTATCTGCATACTGAAGCCCCAGACAATTGGCCAGCTATGGTCACCCTACAGTCCAGCTGCTTAGGAGCTACATGTCCCTCTGCAGCCTTCCATCTGACGTGTCATACAGTACACTTTTATAGTTTTGAAACAATTAATTTTTTTTCTGCTTACCGCCCACATTCTGTACATTGTTTCTCAACATGATGTCCCGTGCTTCTCCAGCAACTGCCTAATAGGTTATGTAGGGAGGAGCTGGGCCAGAACCAGGGGCGGACTGATAACTCGTGGGGCCTCCGGGCAATATGGGATCATGGGACCCCTGTGTCCTTGCCCACACTCAAAGCACACCCAAAAAAGCCTATAAAAGGTACCAGGGGCATTTCATGGGGCCCCCTACTGACCCCGGGCCCTCGGGCAGTGCCCGAGCGCCTGAATGGTCAGTCCGCCCCTGGCCAGAACATACAGTAAGTAGACACTCCCACAAGAGGAGAGGGCTTTGGCGCACAAGGTGTGTCTTTGAACTTTTCTAGCTACTCCAGAGGCACATTGCAAGTGGATACTAATAATTTATTAAAAAAACCTTGCAAATAAATATTTAAAGTGTTACTAAACCTAGGGCCCTGCATCCACTATATATGGTCCCCAGGACCCTGCAGTCACTATATCTGGTCTCCCACAGTACACAGAACATGGAAATGCAATTATTTTAGTAAATATATTACTGCTAAATACCTGTTCTCATCAGCATTTAGAGCAGTCTTGTGACTTCTATCAGTGTCCGGCCGAGCACTGGTTAGAGCTTGTAGGAGTTTTCATTCTCCCCTGACTGTCCTAAGAGGCTGCATGACCCCTAACCCAGTGTCTGGACAGTGCTGATTGGCCCTGTGCTGACCGCATGCACTATCTCAAAGAGAAAAAAAAAAAGGCTCTCTAACCATACATACTAAACTGAGCATGTGCAGAGTCTTCCTAGGGCTCTGTACTATCAGCAGATGGATTGGGGACAGTAGAAGGTGAGGATCAGAGAAGACAGGATCAAACAGTCTTTTTACACAATGCGGAGGATTAACCCCTTAGGTTCCACAGTGAGTATAACAAGCGTGCTTTACTGCATCTATACAGACTGATTGTACTGTTGTGGGTTTAGTAACACTTTAAAATATTTTTCTGTGTTTTTTTTTACCTGATTTTTTTGATTGGTAACAGGGTCTCTCAGGGTATTTTTTTTGTTTTCACAGAAAGAATTACATTTTATTTGAAAAAAATTCTCTATTCATACTGTGTACCCAGTACAGAAGTAAATAGACAAACTCCAATTTCAAACCCAAAATATTCTTTCCTGAAATGTGAAGTTGAACGTATCCCTGGGAAAGTGTAATGTTTTACCATCTGACATGTTTTCACCTTAACTCAATCCTGGTTTCTCACATCTGGCACAAGCAACTGTCCAGATCCCCTTTGTGATCAGTTTGTTTCTCCTCTTGTATTATTTCTACAAGACTTGGAGATCGGACCCTGGGTACATCAGATCCTCGGAGGAGGAAAGGAAGCAGGTATGTTGACTAAGAGAATGGTTCTGTTTTTAAAGATCAGCTCTGGACTACATTTAAAAAAAAAAAAAAAAAAAAAAAATAGAACAGCTGTGGCAGGTTCTGTTTAACCTCTTGGCGCCGCCCGAGCGCAAATGTGCAGCCTCCCGGCGTCTGGGCCTAGACGCCCGAGCGGCCGTACATTTGCGTTCTATTAAAAAAAACATATATGCTGAGACCTGCGCGCTCCCCCAGCACACATGTCCAGTACTCACTGAAAGGTCCCGATCTCCTCTTTCGATCGGGACCTTTCCCGATCATGTGACGGTGTGTCACGGCGGTCACATGACCCTAAATCCCGCCTCCCGGCTTCTGAAACCCTTAAAGGGCTGGGAGGCGCCGGCGCCAAGGGGTTTAAAGAGACTTTGCCTGTTCAGAGATGTAACGGAACTGGTCCCCGACTGCGCTAGGGTATTTCCGTTAGACTCCCGCTTTCCTGTCTGAACATTATGCCACCGCTGACCATACAGGACGAGACAGCACCAGGGCGGGGCTTTAAATACAACCAGTAAACAGGAAACACATCAGCAGGCCGTCCCATCAGGGGGAAGGGCTGCCGGAAACACCCCCACCAAACCAAGACACACAATAGAACAATGGGATACACCACCTGGCAGTAGACAATACAGGAACACATGCATCCCATAATAGTTTGCTGGCCAGCAAGACACAATAAAACAATGGAACAACCATGTGGCAGTAAACAATGAACAACCCTCACACCCTACCTATACATGTCCACACAATACTAGGACATTCACCCTGTACCCCTAACAGGCACAGGGTGACTCACACATAATGGGAATATGGGGAGCAGAGACAGGGTCCACCCACCCCCAAAAAGTCACTCCCGTCACAAGAGCAAATTGGCAGCATCTTCTTGTAGCCAACCCTCAGCAAGGTATACTCACTGACTCACACCATGCCGCTTCATCGGAGCCCTTCCTTAGTTGGGAATACGATTTATAGGTATAGGGGAGCATGTGGCCTCTCCCATGTGACAGTGCTTGGACCTCAGGAGAAGGGGGGGGGACAACAATATCCAACAGGGGTAAGCTCCGACACTAAAACTTACTCAGGGTGGTCTACTGTAGCCAAGGAGAGTAGATGAGTACATATACCATGCTGGGGTGAGCTATCCGAAGACACTATCACTTTGCACTGAATAGGTAAAGTGACTAGTTCTCATTTAAATGCTAAGAGACAAACAAAAGCTTTAAGTCCTGGGATTGAATCCAACGTGGAACACTATCCACAGGGTCGCTATTTGAAATCACAGACTTTGTACAGCCTACCCGACAGGGCCTGACGCTGCACTGGAGACACGCACAGGCAGTCTTTGCTGACCAGATGGGGCCTAGTATAGGACTGCTGCCTGTATTGGTGGCACTAACTGCTCGGGCTTCGTTTTATTTGAATGAGTTTTCTTCCACAGTCCGAAAAACATTTTGGTATTTGAACTGGCTCTCACCAAAATTGTGTGTATAGCAGGGATATTTGTGTGTAAGCCTCTTGGGGGATCTGTGGATCGTTCTATGTACTTTTAGGCCACGCTCAAATATATGTGGGTGCAGGAGTGCTTGTAAATCACACACATTCCTGCCACCATACAGAAAACGCGGGGGGGAAGGGGGGTTTGTCATTAACTCTAAATGACACCCCCCACACACTGAAAAAACTCAGTGGCGTGCAAAAGTACCATGTTCTGCACACGAAAACTTAAGGGGGGTACCATTAACTCCTAATTGCACCCCCGCCTTTGTCCGGGGTGCGGTGTTCGGAAGCGCGCAAACGAAAGTCCAGACCGTGTGGCGTCCCTGTGGTGCCGGGACCCGGATATCCTTCACAAGGAGGTTCGCACTTCTCCGCCGAGAGGTACGAACTGGCTATCTCCGAGGGGAGATAGCAACAATCACATTTGGGCAAAAGCAGGTTGGACAGGATGGTCAAGGAAACACAGTAATTAATTAGATTTGCAGCTGTAAACAGGGTAACAGTGGGGAAGAATATACATTTAGACACAAACCAGAATGGGCAAGATGGACAGGGAAGGAACAATAATGGAATTTGTAGCTGTAAACAAGATAACAGTGGGGAGAATACACTAATTGAATTTGGGACCTTTTGTAAAAATGTCAGCACTATATTAACCACTTTCCCGTACGGCCCATGTACATAAAACGGCTTCCCGGACGGGAGCAGTGCAGGAACGGGTTGCAGTTTATAAACCGTCCTCCCTCATTCCCTGCCTGTGTGCGCTCCCTGGGATCCAGTGCCCACTGCTGTATCCAGAAAACACCGATCTCTGTACGGCACCTCTGTGTGAGGTCCCGATCATGTGATCCCTGATTGGTCAATCAGTCATCACATGAATAGTAGTAAGAATGATCACAGAGATCACATGGTACAAGGCTATTCACAACAGCCTTGTACCATGTGACAAGCTGTGACCAATCACAGCTCTCACAGTTTTTCTCAATGGCTGCAAAAATGCAGCCAGAGAGGAGAAATGATTGCTATTACAGTCTTTATGGGTGTAAAAGCAATCGGTGTAAAAAAAAAAAATTTTATTCATCACCCCCCACAAGTAGTACAGTGTCACTATGGTGACACTGTACTGCTAGAGTGACAGTATGTTAAAAAAAAAAAACCCAAATAATAATATAAAAACATAAAATAAAAATGTTTGAAAAATTATAATTTTTGGTTATAAACTAATGGGGTTATTTTTTTTTTACAAAAAAGATAACGGAATACATTTTGGCCAAGATTTATGATGAAATATTATTTATTTGCAAAATGTTATAAGAAAAGCACTTTTTCTTACAAATGTTTGGACTTTTTCATTTATATAGCAAAAAAATAAAAATCCCAGCGGTGAATAAATACCACCAAAATAAAGTTTTATCTGTCTCAAAAAAATGCTAAAAAAGTCATATGGGTACAGTGTTGCATGACCGCGCAATTGTCATTCAAAGTGTGATAGCGCTGAAAGCTGAAAATTGGCCTGGACTGGAAGGGGGGGAAAGTGTCCGGACTGGAAGGGGGTGAAAGTGTCCGGACTGGAAGGGGGTGAAAGTGTCCGGACAGGAAGGGGGGAAAGTGTCCGGACTGGAAGGGGGGGAAAGTGTCCGGACTGGAAGAAGGGGGGGGGGGGGGAAAGTGTCCGGACTGGAAGGGGGGGAAAGTGTCCGGACTGGAAGGGGGGAGAAAAGTGTCCGGACTGGAAGGGGGGGAAAGTGTCCGGACTGGAAGGGGGGTGTGAAAGTGTCCGGACTGGAAGGGGGGTGAAAGTGTCCGGACTGGAAGGGGGGTGAAAGTGTCCGGACTGGAAGGGGGTGAAAGTGTCTAGACTGGAAGGGGGTGAAAGTGTCTAGACTGGAAGGGGGTGAAAGTGTCTAGACTGGAAGGGGGTGAAAGAGGGGGGTGAAAGTGTCTAGACTGGAAGGGGGTGAAAGTGTCTAGATGGAAGGGGGTGAAAGTGTCTAGACTGGAAGGGGGTGAAAGTGTCCCGACTGAAGGGGGTTGAAAGTGTCTAGACTGGAAGGGGGTGAAAGTGTTCCGGACAGGAAGGGGGTTGAAAGTGTCCGGACAGGAAGGGGGTGAAAAGTGTCCGGACAGGAAGGGGGGTGAAAGTGTCCGGACAGGAAGGGGGTGAAAGTGTCCGGACAGGAAGGGGGTGAAAGTGTCTAGACTGGAAGGGGGTGAAAGTGTCCGGACTGGAAGGGGGTGAAAGTGTCCAGACTGGAAGGGGGTGAAAGTGTCCCCGGACTTGAAGTGGTTAAAAAATAAAAAAAGTGCAAAACTTTAGTATAAAAGTTTGAATTGTGTTTTTCCAGACAATCATTACCTTGGCTGAAGCTGGCTGTCTGGATGTGAGACTCTTCTGCACCTCTGTCTGGTATGACTTCCCAGAACTTTTTTTTTGTATTTTTTTCTGTGTGTTTTGAAGTTTGTGCATAAAATATATGAAATGAGATCGATTATTCCTCCGACACCATCACTATGATTTATTATGTTCCAACAGAATCATTATAATTTTTCCAATAAACTGCTCTGCTAAAAATGTTCTGGAAGCTAAAGCAAATGTGTGAAGCTAGGTTTGAATGTGTTTTTTTTTTTTTTTTCTTTCTAGTTTTTGCCCTTTGCAGTTCATACCAGCCTTTTATAAATGCATAATGAGCAAGCTGCAAATGCAGATTTGTTTATCAATTCAGGGCACGATCAATGCAAATGACACTGAGCATATTCGATAAGCATGCGGTAACTACATCACCATTCCCTCATCAGCTTCGGAATATTTTAATAAGAAGCAAATGAGTAACAATGGGGTATACAAAATCTGTGGAGGAGGATTTTAGTGCTCAGGCTTTTGTTATGTAATGATTAAAATGTTCTTAACCCCTTCATACCGGCTCCTCCCGGCCCTTTAAGGGGTTTCTGGCCGGGAGGCGGGGTTTAGGGTCATGTGACATGCCGTGGTCACATGATCGGGAAAGGTCCCGATCGAAAGAGGAGATTGGGACCTTTCCGTGAGTAGCGGACATGTGTGCTGGGAGCTTGCATGGCGCGCGCTTCTTAGCACGTCTTTTTTTATTTGACCGCAAATGTGCGGCCGCTCGGCGTTCGGCTGGCATGAAGAGGTTAATGTGGAACTGTGTTGCATGTAAGTACCACAAACCGAAAAATTCTATATACTTCATTTTTAATATTAGAAAAAAAAAAAAACCTCCTCCATCCATCCGTGTCTCCATGCTTTATTTTGCTGAGAAATCATTTTGAAAAATGCCTCCTGGCATTTCTGGCAGTGGCCATCTTGAGTGAGGGCAGATGATTCATGTAGCAGTTACTTCCTGGAATCCATCTGTACTTAAAGCGGAGTTCCACTCACCCTGTCAAAAAATAAAAGTCAGCAGCTACAAAAACTGTAGCTGCGGACTATTGAAAAAAACAGCCACTTACCTGCCCTCAGTCCCATGGTGTGTGCCCCGCAGCCCGTTCCACCGGCCGTCCTGTATTCCAGGAGGCCGGCATCTTCAGTGTGGGCACCCAGCTGTTATAGCTTGCGGCTTCATAGCTGGGTGCCCACTGCGCATGCGTGAGTAGTGCTGCGCTTCATGAATGGTCCTGTAGTCTTCCGGGACTTGTCACGTGTCCCAAAAGACTACAGGGAAGGAGGACACCTTCTCCCCCCTTTCCCCCCCCCCTCTTTCTTCTCCCCCCCCTCCTCTCCCCCCCCCCCCCTCCCCTCTCCTCTCTTCCCCCCCTCTCTCTCTTCTCCCCCGTCTCCCCCCCCCCCCCCCCCCCCCCCCCTCTTTCTCTCCCCCCCTTTTTCTTCTCCCCCCCCCTCTTTCTTCTCCCCCCTTTTCTTCTCCCCCCATCTCTCCCCCCTCTTTCTTTTTCTCCCCGCCTCTCTCTTCCCCCCCCTCTCTCTTTCCCCCGTCCATTCCCTGTCTCTCCCCCTAATCTCCTCTATTCCCCCTTTCTCACCCCCTCCTTCTCTCCCCCCTCCCTCCCCCTCTCTCCTCTCTCTCCCCCCCTCTCTCCCCCTCCCTCTCTCCCCCCTCCTCTCTCTCCCCCCTCTTCCCCTCCTTCTCACCCCTCCCCCCCTTTCTTCCCCCCCGTCTCTCCCCCCTCTCTCCCCCCTTTCTCTTCCCCCCCATCTCTTCCCCCCGTCTCTCCCCCTCCTCTCTCTCTCCCCCCCTCTCCCTCTCTCTCCCCCCCTTGCTCTCTCCCCCCTTCTCCCCCCCCCCCTCTCCACCCCCCCTCCCCCCCTTCTTTCCACACCCCTTTCCCCCCTCTTTCTCCCCCCCTCCTCTCTCGTTTTTCTTTGGGAAACAATTAAATTGGTCGACTTTTTGTAGATTTAGGACTTCTTCGAGATTTGGCGGGAAGGGTTATCTGTAATGTGAATACACACATTTCCAGTTTTTCAGTCTTTTGGATTACATGGAAAAAATTATCAAAGTGTACAGAGAATGAAAAGTATTTGGCTGATCACTGACCCATTTTAACTGGGAATGAGATAACCATCTTTATTAATACTTTGTGATCTCCTAGGAAAAGAAACCGCTGAGGTCAATGCACTGTCATGCCTGCAATTCCTGCGTGGCCAGGTTTGACCAGCACTGTATATGGACCGGACACTGTATAGGTGAGAACATGCGACATTATAAATGGGATTTGTACATACAGATCTGGGTGGAACCCTCCCTGTGGATCAGTGGTGCCATTTCTCCACCTTTGTAGCCGAAGTAACCAAACCCAATCCAGATGACAATTGGAAGACAGAGCACAGGCTTCTTTATGTTTTATTTATGATTTCTCACTTCTCCTGTTACATTTCCTCCCCAGGTGCTGGAAATCATCATTACTTTGTCCTTTTCCTATGTGCCATGGTATTTGTGGGCCACTGGATGATCTACGCTTCCTCCATATGTAAGTGACTGTTGGGGCTTGCTCAGAGCACATGAAACTGAAAGCATATAGGGAGAAGGACACATTGCCATGTACTTTCAGATGCATTATGATGCAGTTTTGAAGGTCTCTATGCAGCTCATGTGAAGTGGATCTGAACTCAGAAAGTAAAGGTTTGTTAGGTTATAGGGTCCATTTAGCAATGTTAGCTGTACTAAGCAGTACAATAACGCCTTTGCTAGGGTTCCTCCTGGAAAGTAACGCTGCAATTCCTGTGCCTTGTGCCTCATAGCTGTATATGTACAGAGATCATCTAGGGCACTGCTGCCTCTGACTGATCGTCTAACCAGATTTAAAGTTCGATTTGGTGATGTCACTACTCCCCCTTACTGGAGAGGAAGCTGCACCTGAGAACCTGCTGTGCAAGGATCTCTCTGCTTCATTCATTCTGGAGGTCCATGATTTGTGCTGCTGCTTCTCTACCAACATGGCTGCCGCCACACAGAAACATAGTCTACACTAGGCATGGTAAGTCAATAAGGGGTAAAATATTGGCTGCAGGGAGCACACAGGCAATACTGGTGACTGATTCTGTGCCTTCTGCTTGCCTTTTTTTGGCACAGGCACAGTACATACACTTGAACTCTAATCAGTCTTAGATCCAAGTACGTCTCCAGTACCCTCTTCTGTCACACACTACGATGAACAGTAATACATTATGAGACTAACCTGTTGTGTATATTGTCTCGTCCGCAGTTTGGGTCAGTCAGTGCTCCACCAGTATACGGAAGGACGGAGTCTGGGTATTCTTGATGGAGATCGTGACCTGCTCCCCCTGGGTCCTTTATATCTTCTTCCTTGTCTGCTCCCTCACTATGTGGGCAACGCTTATGTTCATCTTACAGATCTATCAGGTAATAGAGCCAGGCTGTAATCATGTAGAACATATTTTAATCTGGTATTGTTCTGATGGCCTTGATGGAAAAACAGAAGGGCATACTATGTGCTAGAGAGAAAGGTGGTCCTGTCTGATTTTTGTCATAAAGACATGTGGCTTAAATGTGACCTCCAGCATTCCCTCCACTCTTGTACAGTTGTACCGGCTCCTCCCCTTCAGTCTTGCACAGACGTACCGGCTCCTCCCCTTCAGTCTTGCACAGGTGTACCGGCTCCTCCCCTTCAGTCTTGCATAGGTGTACCGGCTCCTCCCCTTCAGTCTTGCACAGGTGTACCGACTCCCTCCCTTCCAGTCTTGCACAGGTGTACCGGCTCCTTCCCTCCAGTCTTGCACAGGTGTACCGGCTCCTCCCCTTCTGTCTTGCACAGGTGTACTGGCTCCTCCCCTTCACTCTTGCACAGGTGTATCGGCTCCTCCCCTTCAATCTTGCACAGGTGTACCGGCTCCTCCCCTCCAGTCTTGCACAGGTGTGCCAGCTCCACCCTTTTTAATCTTGCACAGGTGTACCGGCTCCTCCCCTTCAGTCTTGCACAGGTGTACCGGCTCCTCCCCTTCAGTCTTGCACAGGTGTACCGGCTCCTCCCCTTTAATCTTGCACAGGTGTACCGGCTCCTCCCTTTTAATCTTGCACAGGTGTACCGGCTCCTCCCCTTCAGTCTTGCACAGGTGTACCGGCTCCTCCCCTTCAGTCTTGCACAGGTGTACCGGCTCCTCCCCTTCAGTCTTGCATAGGTGTACCGGCTCCTCCCCTTCAGTCTTGCACAGGTGTACCGACTCCTCCCTTCCAGTCTTGCACAGGTGTACCGGCTCCTTCCCTCCAGTCTTGCACAGGTGTACCGGCTCCTCCCCTTCTGTCTTGCACAGGTGTACTGGCTCCTCCCCTTCACTCTTGCACAGGTGTATCGGCTCCTCCCCTTCAATCTTGCACAGGTGTACCGGCTCCTCCCCTCCAGTCTTGCACAGGTGTGCCAGCTCCACCCTTTTAATCTTGCACAGGTGTACCGGCTCCTCCCCTTCAGTCTTGCACAGGTGTACCGGCTCCTCCCCTTCAGTCTTGCACAGGTGTACCAGCTCCTCCCCTTTAATCTTGCACAGGTGTACCGGCTCCTCCCCTCCAGTCTTGCACAGGTGTACCGGCTCCTCCCCTTCAGTCTTGCACAGGTGTACCGACTCCTCTCCTGGACTAACATAGCTTGCTCTGATTTCACTGCACACTGGGAGCTTCTCCCGATGTGCATTAGAAGCTGCAGCCAGTCAGATAGAGCTCCGCCTCATTTCCAGCATTTCTATGCCTTTCCTCCCCAGCCTTACTGTCCCTGGCCCGTCCCTTTCATTTGTTGGATTGCAGTTTTTTCAATCATGGAGGCTCAGCATCACATGTGAGCCATTTCTAGGGTGGTCTACATGCAGCATGTCTAGGAAAGTGCACTCCTCCAAACTGCCCAGTAAGGCATTTTGTTATTTGCATGACTCTTCCCAAAAGCCAGCCCACTGTTTGCATCAGGGCTGAGGGCTCTTGAGAGGAGTACAGAAGCAGGGTGCTGGGGTGTTTTCAGGAAGCTGTGTACAGCACCCAGCCAGCCCTTCCCACCAGGCATGATTTTCCTGCTTTGAGGAGAGAAGAACAGAGGCCCAGTCATGATGACACTGGATCTTAATTCTACTGAAAACGGAAATATTTTACCCAGAAGTGGCATTGGCATGTTGATGAGGGAGGAGGGAGCAGCCCAGGGAAGGCAAAATTAAAGCTGATGTTTAATCTGGAATATTTAGGATTGTATAGAAACAGAAGAACAGGGACCCGGTGATGATGTCACTGGATCCAAATTGTCTAAAACGGAAATGTTTTACCCAAAAGTGGCATTGGTATGTTGATGAGGGGGGAGGGAGCAACCCAGGGAAGGCAAAATTAAAGCTGACGTTTAATCTGTTTCTATACAATCCTATACATTCCAGAGAAGAACAGAGACCCAGTGATGACATCACTTGTCCAAAATATGTTATGTAATAAGAGCAGAATAGTGTCATTTTAATATTTTCAGTAATATGTTGTTGAGGTGGGAGGGAGGAACCAGGAAAGGAAAATATAAGCAGAATAAACTTTGGCTATACCTTTACCCTCACTATAAAACACTCCACACTCAAAACTAGGGGAAAAAAATGGCTAGAGTTGCCATTTACTATAAATTCGTGTGTGTGTGTGTGTGTGTGTCCGTGTGTGTGTGCGCGTCCATGTGTGTGTGTCCGTGTGTGCGCGTGTTTATTTTATGTGTTAGGCGGTTACAACTGAAATGGACAATTATTGCTCTTTCATTCCTCTTATATATTGAGATGTGAGTGATATTGAATGTTGTATTGGTAGCCTTACCTTGAGCTGAATGCTTTATATTTTTTCCTTTCTTCAGATTGCATTTCTTGGTCTGACAACTCAAGAAAGATTCAATTTCCAAATGCAGAATAGACTCACCAAACACAAAATGTCAATGCGGAGAACTCCTTTCAAGTAAGTGAGCACACAAGCAATGTTTCAAATACACACAAATTTTCAATGTTTGAAAATACACAAAACTTTAATGTGACTTCCTTGTCTGCTCTGTTCAGATGGATATAGAGATTCAATTACAGAGCAGGGGCGTAGATAGGGGGGGTCAGGGGGTCTGTCATTCATCCCTGGCTGCGGGCTGCAGCCCTCGAAATTTGGGCTGGGGAGTGAGAAGAACACAGCGACGGGAACTCTGGGAACACAGCGGCGGTGGGAGGGAGGGAGGAAGGAGGGGGCAGAAAGAAAATCGTTCTCTGCAGCGGTGGAGGCGGCGAGTAGCACCAGGACTAGGGGTGTGTGAGAGGGGCGGCGGTGGCTGTGGTGGCAGGCAGCGATCTTCTATATGGCTTTCAATGAAGCAGCTTAAAACTGCGGGAGGGAGAGGAGGTGAAGCAGCTTCCAGCTGCTTTGTTAAAAGCCATACAGAAGATTGCTGCCTTTCACCACAACCACCTCTGCCCCTCCCACACACCAATAGTCCCGGTGCTGCTCACCGCTTCCACCGCTGCACCGAATGGTGAACCTAGCCTAATACAGTAGTCAGTGCAAAAATTATACTCTGTCACTGTACTAATGACATTGGCTGGGAGGGGTTAAAAGCATCCCAACCACCCTATAGCAGAAGTACTGCTACAGGGAAGGAGGGATGCGCAAAATCAAATATATATACGTGATTTAGCATTTCTGGGTAGGGGGCGTGCGCACTCTCTACCTGCGCCACTCTTGGCTCCTCGGGATGTCAATCACCATGTCTCAGCCAATCACCATTCTCGGCCGGGACTCGGTGATCGTTGGCAAAGCTGACTGGGGTGAGGTCTGTATGTAAACAACACAGATATCTCCCCTGTCAGAATGAACAGGCTGCTTTGTATTGCTCTGCACAGCAGCTTGTCTATATAGTAAAACACAACACAGCACACAGTGAACCCTTTGATCACCCCTCATGTTAACCCCTTCCTGCCCAGTGTCATTAGTACAGTGTCCCATGCTTTTTATTAGCACTGATCACTGTATTAGTGTCACCGGGGATGTCAGTGGCAGTTAGTCAGTTCCCTCCAGTGTCAAAATGCCTGCCGTAGTCCCGCAATAAGTCACTGCTTCTGATTTGTCACAGCAGAAGCAAATCAACGGGTGCCGGCCAATGGATAACTGTCAGCATCGCTGATCGGCGAGAAAACACACAGGACAGAGCTCTGCATATGTAAAACAAGGCATTGCTCCGTCCTGTCAGTGGGGATGTGCTGGATTTTGTTTCCCTGAAAAGTAGTACACAAACGTACACACATAACACTGGTTAGGCACACAATTAAACCATTGATTTCCCTAGATGTTTAATCGCTTGCCATCCAGAGGATTTGCCCCCCTTCCTGACCAGGCCATTTTTTGCGATATGGCGCTGCGTTACTTTTAACTGACAATTGCACGGTCATGCCACGCCTCACCCAAATGAAATTTATGTCCTTTTTTTCCCACAAATAGAGCTTTCTTTCGGTGGTATTTGATCACCTGTGCGTCTTTTATTTGTTAGCGCTATAAACAAAAAAAGACCGACAATTTTGAAAAAAAAAACCCAAAATTACTTTTTGCTATAAAACATAAGCAGTAAACAAATTTTAAAAAATCAAAAATTGTCATAAATTTAGACCAAAATGTGTTCTGCTTTATAATGACACAGGAGACTGTCAGGTTTATCTGCGCCTGTTTGTTTTAGAGTGAAATAGAAACTAACGTAGGTCTGCCCTAATTAACCCCTTGGCGCCGGCGCCTCCCGGCCCTTTAAGGGTTTCAGAAGCCGGGAGGCGGAGCAGAGTTTAGGGTCATGTGACCGCAATGACACGCCGTCACATGATCGGGAAAGGTCCTTTCACGGAAAGGACCTTTCCGTGAGTACCGGACATGTGTGCTGGGAGTGCGCTCTCAGCACATATGTTTTCCTTAATGGCACGCAAATGTGCAGCCGATCAGCGTCAAGGCCCAGGCGCCGGGAGGCTGCAGATTTGCGTGCGGCTGGCACCAAGAGGTTAACAGAGGGAATACGGCAGTTTTCCATACAGAAAACTGCCCAAATCTCCGCCCAAAAGTCTGACTTGTCAGCAGCCCACGCACTCCCTTCTCTCTGCCTGTGCAGTGATTACAACTACTTGAGCAGAGCCTGCAGCGATCCCAACCCTATTTCTTCTTCCTGTTCTAAGCTGAGCAGGGGCGGGGACAGCAGGGAGTTCGGATCATGCAGCACCCGCTCTCATGTTCTCTGTGCCCTGTGCCCTGTGCTGTACCTGTCACAACCACAAAACATAGAACTGATTGTTCCTAATTAATAAAAAGGGCTTGCACCCCCTTTTGTTAATTAGGAACAGCTTCTGCTCCTTTTTTATATGCTTTTTCTTGCACAATTCTCTATTAATTTCCCCCAATATGTTAATGTGTCCCCCCAATATGAATACACCCAGAAATTCCAGGAATAAATATCTAGAAAATACGCAGAAATAGGTTCAATATGTCCCCGATTGTAACCAAGAGGGATCGTTTTCATTGTATCTCCACCTTCTGGAGTTAAATTTACTGTCAGCATCCCAGGTATGACCACATCACCCCACCCCCCACTGGGAGCAGAGGTTTTGTTTATGACCCATAATACGTTTTTCTTTCAGCCATGGCTGTATCCAGAACCTCGCAGACTTCTTCCAATGTCAGTGCTTTGGACTGATAAAAGTGACCCCCGTGGACTGGACCAAGCAATTTCACGGCATATTCCACCCGTCCAAGATGAGGACCCCTCAGCCTGTTTAGATGCCAACACTTGCAATGGTGGCTTGAAGCTTTTTTTTTTACTTCTAGCTTCTCAGATAAACTGGTGCCTTACCTAAGAACTGTCTGAGGTGCATTGCAGTCTTTAGACACCCCTCCACACTCGCCTGTCTGAGGAAGATGAAGTGCCTGTGCTGTTTGGGAACACCCAAGTGAAGTTTATGTCTTTCAGCTCTTTGAACACCATGTAATTGGAAGAGGTTGTCTTGAAGAAGACTGATAGATGGTTTAGGGTTGTACCACTAGAATCCTTTTTTTTTTTTCGTTTTTGAAATGTTTTAGTCTGTTTGTAAAAACCAGAGAAAAAAAATGCAAGAACCAAAGCGGACTTGTAAAATGAAGGATGGGATCTGATTGCGCAAAAACGCCATGTTTTTTCCTGTTTACATTTCTTTTTCTCCTGGCGCTGCTTCATGTATCATATTGTTCTGTTAATTTGTTTCTTAGATGAGAAATATCTGGCAATTATAATGTCGGTATAAAATTTCCCAGCCGCTGAATTGTTGGGCATTCAGAAGAAAAATCTCTCTGCTCCGAGACCTGCAACATTTGTAATTGCTGATTGCAGCTACTGTATCACCTTCATTTACAGCTAAACTCCAGGAAACTTCTGTAAAAAGTGCTGGCATACTATGGGTTAAAGAGGAGTTCCACCCAAAAGTGGAAGCTCTGCTTGCTTGCCTCATAAACCCCCCCCCCCCCCCCCTCCACTGCCATATTTGCCCTTTTTGGGTGGGAGGGGAGAGTGGATACCTGGTTTTGACAGGTACCCGCTCCCACTTCTGGCTCAGTGTGCCCACGGCGAAGTTAGCCGGAAGTTCCCCCCCACCCCCCTTCCTCACACCCATTACTCTCCTTCCTCCTGCAGTTTTCTGGGACACCTCCACAGATCCCAGAAGACTGCCGGACCAATCAGGATGGGAGGGGGGAGCGGATACCTGTTTTTGACAGGTACCTGTTCCCACTTCTGGCTCAGTTCGCCGTGGCAAAGTTAGCTGGAAGTTTACCCCCCCCACCGCCCCCTACCTCGCCCCCACACCCTCCTTCCTTTTTCAGTTTTCTGGGACACTTCAACAGATCCCACAAGACTTCCTGGATCAATCAGGATGCGTCGGATACCAGTTTTTGACAGGTACCCGTTCCCACTTCTGGCTCAGTTCGCCGTGGCGAAGTTAGCTGGAAGCTGGCCCCCACCCCCCTCCCTCACGCCCCCCTCTTTCCTCCTGCAGTGTTCTAGGACACTTCACAGATCCCAGAAGACTGTCGGACCAATCAGGATGTGTTGGATGGGAGGTGGAGTGGATACCTGTTTTTTGACAGGTACCCGCTCCCACTTATGGCTCTCAGTTCGCCGTGGCAAAGTTAGCCAGGAGTTCACCCCCTTTCCTCACCCCCCACCCTCTTCCTCACACCCCCCCCTTCCTCACCCCCTCCCTTTCTCACCCCCCCCCTCCTCCACCGCCTCCCTTCCTCCTGCAGTGTTCTGGGACACTTCACAGATCCCAAAAGACTGCCGACCAATCAGGATGCGTTGGATGGGAGGGGGGAGCGGATACCTGTTTTTGACAGGTACCCGCTCCCACTTCTGGCTCAGTTCGCCGTGGCAAAGTTATCCAGGAGTTCACCCCCTTCCTCACCCCCCACCCCCTTCTTCAACCCCCCCCCTTCCTCACCCCCCCCCCCACCACCTCCTCCCGGGGGGAGGCGATACATGTTTTTGACAGGTATTCGCTCCCACTTCTGGCTCCATTCGCCACGGCAAAGTTAGCTGGAAGTTCACCTCCACCCCCCCCAACCACCTTCATCACCCACCCCCTTCCTCACCCTCCCATCCCTTCCTCAATCCCTCCTTCCTTCCTCCTGCAGTTTTTTTGACACTTCACAGATCCCAGAAGGACTGCCAGACCAACCAGGATGCGCAGCGCAACTCGCACATGTGCAGTGGGCACCCGCCGTGAAGCCGCAAGCTGTCACAGCCGGGTGCCCACAGTTGAGATGCTGGCGCCGGGGAGAGAAGAGGCAGAGAAGTGACGGCACGGGTGAGCACATTGCTGGACCCCGGGACAGGTGAATGTGTGTTTTATTAAAAGTCAGCAGCTACAGTTTTTGTAGCTACTGACTTTTGACAGGTACCCGCTCCTACTTTCTGGCTAAGTTCGTCGCGGCCAAAGTTAGGCAGAAGTTCGCCCATCCCTCCCACCACCCTCCTTCCTCTTGCAGTTTTCCGGGACACCTTCACAGATCGACAGTAGGCTGCCGGACAATCAGGATGCGCAGCGCAACTCGCACATGCCCAATGGGCACCCAGCGTGAAGCCGCAAGCTGTCACAGCTGGGTGCCCACAGTTGAGATGCTGGCGCCAGGGAGGGAAGACACAGCACGGGTGAGCACATTGCTGGACCCCGGGACAGGTGAGTGTGTGTTTTATTAAAAAGTCAGCAGCTACAGTTTTTGTAGCTGCTGACTTTTAATAATCACAAAAAACTGACTGGAACTCCACTTTTAAGTCCAACAAAGTGCATGCCCACCTCCTGGACTTACGTAGACTAATTACTGGTCATTCATGATAGAAAAAAACACGGTGCTTATACCCCAATCATCAATACGTAAATGGGCATGCGTTTTTTAGAAACGGGGACTTTCACAAGCACCAAAGTTTGACAACTATTTTAAAATGACCTTTTATTATGAAATTTTATGTTTCTGTTTACATGGCATGACAATATGGTACGGACAAGTAGAATTGACCAAGGGAATCACTTCAACTGTATTCAAGAGAAATCTCTCCCAGGAAAATGTAACCCCGGCGCATTTCATTTCATACTATGAATCTTCTTCAGGGGGAGCAATAGAATGCAGAAACCTATAACCATGTCTCAGTTAAAAACAAGACCTTGATAACGATCCTCTGGTGTCCGCATTAGGCAAAAGGGATCCCTCGAGTGATCCCTCTGAACAGGCGAGGGATTGTGAAAAGGTATTGGCAAACCAACGGTGGACTATGATGACCTATAGATTGGGCTTGAGGGATTCAGCAAAGGATTTCCACTTAATATATGTCATAGTTTCATATTCAGAGTGCCAGTGTATCAGTTCACCATGACCTTATTGTTCACATTACCACCTCCTGGAACTTATCGCTTTTATTTACTAAAACCGACCGTTTTGCGGAGCTCCCAGAGGGCGTTAGCACTTCACGCATGGCAGTACTGCGGGTCATTGGTTTGAATCCCAACCACAGCACTGGCTGCATGGACTTTGCATGTTCTCCTGTGCTTCGTGGGTATTTCCTCCGGGTACTTCTGGTTTCCTCCCACAACTCCGGAGACCTGTTGGTAGGTGAATTGGCACCATCCTGTCTAAATTGGCCCTAGTATGTGTATGTATGAATGTGAGTTAGGGGACCCTTAGATTGTACGCTCCTAGAGGGTTAGGGACTGATGTGAATGGGTGCAATATTTGTAAATTGACGCCGCTATATAAGTACCTATAATAAATAAATAGCTATTGCTACACTCTGGGGCTCTGAGTGCGTTCTCACACACAGCTTGCTGTGCCTGCAATTCAAAGAAGACTTTGTTCTGTCGTGAACGAGTTTACTTAACCACAAAGTGCTCGGCGATTGGGCAGAGAGGAATGGGTAGGGGGCGGGCCAAAGCAAGGTACATGCAAACTCTACTGCTGAAGGAAACGTGATAAGCGGAAGGTCAAGTGTCATGAGCTCTGGAATTGTAGACTGATAGTTCATACTGACAGGGCTACATAAAATTTGTCAAGATGTATATTGATAAAGAAAGTACACGAGGTGACATGACACCTTGGTGCTGGGACTTTAAATCAGTATGTCTGAAGCATTTTTACAAAGTGGATAAAATTCTTGGAATTCAGCTTTCTCTTGCATGTGAGCATGAGGGCCTGCACTTTTAAGGGGGATCGTAACACTGGAAGGCTGTTCGGATAGGCTTATGATCATATATAGTTCACTGCCATTGGATGTCAGTGATCTTGTGTTTGAGAAGCCTGTTTTAAAACAGCTTCCCTCGTCTCAACTGTGCTCCCAGGAGCTGTTGGTGACCTGTACAAGGAGTGTGACATAAATTGAGCATGTTCCCAGCACAAAAAACACATTGACTAGCCTGCATAAAGCCCACATCCCTGCAAAACATACCACTGTGGGGGCTAAAAACAGTCTAGCCACCAATTGTACTCGGTCTCCCCCCTTAAAAAGAGATGAGAGAGGACGCCTGTAATATGGCATCATTAGGGAGACCACAAACTATGAGAGGACCAAAATGAGGATAACAAATCCAGGACAATTCATCATTGGCTGATTTGGAAAGAATTTATTTGCAAAATTATGGTGGAAAATAAGTATTTGGTGAATTATCAAAAGTTCATCTCAATACTTTGTGATACATCCTTAGTTGGCAAATGACAGAGGTTGTCAGAACGTTGCCTGGTAAGTCTTCACCAGGTTGGTACACACTGTTGCTGGTATGTTGGCCCTTAATCTCCATTGCAGATCTACTCCTCTAGAGCAGTGATTATTTTGGGGCTGTCGCGACCGGGCAACATGGACTTTCATACTCACTCCAAAGGTTTTCTATGGGGTTTGAGTCTCTTGGAGACTGGCTAGGCCACTCCAGGACCTTGAAAAAGCTTCTTACGTAGCAACTCCTTCGTTGCCCGGGCGGGTATGTTTGTGATCCATTGTCAATAGTTGGAAGTCCCAGCCACTAGTTTTATAGTGCAATGCCCTTGCTGATGAAAGGTGGTTTGCAATCAAAATCTCATCGATTACATGGACCCCATTCATTCTACCCTGTACATGGTATCCCTGTCAGTCCCTGGTCCCTTTGTGGGAGAAACATCCCCTAAAGCGTGTGATGTTGCCACCCCATGCTTCACAGTAGGTATGGTGTTCTTGTGGATGCAACTCAGGCCTTTCTCTCTCTCTCCATTAAACTACGACGAAGTTGTGT